GAATTTTTAATACTGTTTCAATGTTTCGTCTCTTTTTGTTTTTCTTTTCCTTCTCCATCAAATTTATGACTTTGATTTTGATCGGAAATTTGATCTTCTTGCAAGAAGTCTCCTCCCTCCTGTAAATAACTATAACTATGCATTTGAAGGGAATATATGGTTACATGATATGTATATTAACAACTGGTCCTCATCGCTATTATGATATTGTCGTTTATCTTTCTTAAGAGCTCGTGGTTCTCTTACACCACAGTGACCGTCCTCTGGCTTAGCTCATAGCTTTTGTAGGAATTGTGCATCCACATCGACATGGGTCGATAGGGCCTTAGCGGGACTAAATATTGGAAGAGTGGGCATCAAGCTTCTTGTTTCCATTGACTAGTTCAAAAAATTACCATTGGTTTTGGATAGAAGAAGCTTTACTCTGAAGCTTGGGGTCATCGACTCTGTTATGAAATCATAAAAAAGAATTAGAAAAAACATATAATCAACAATATTACCTACAGCATGTGCCAAATTGTAGATGTCGAAATCCTTTCTCAATATCCTAACGATCTGCTGGATAAAAAGATTGTTTGAAATGTTCAACTAAGATCAGTGAGATGTTTGTCATAGCAATTTTGATGTTTAAAGTTGGTGGGAAGAAAGTAGTGACAGTTAGATGTTGGTGGCAAAAAAGTAACAACACGACAATATGTTCGGGAAAAATAAAAGATGTAAGTTGTGACGTATGAATCTTCTCTTTTCATTAGAGCTTCTTTTGTACCTTAGGAAGAATTCCTACCTCAAATGATTGCAAAAGTTTCCATTTATAGATCAGGTGTTGAGGGTTCTATTTTATATCTTTGTTTGAGCAAGATTTAGGTTTCTTATCCGATTGAGTTGAAACTATTTTGAAAGAGTTTGAGAGAGGATGAGGATGTGGCAAGCAAAGCAACCAAGGTTGAGCATAGCACCTCTAGTTAGAGTCTCCAGTGCTATCATGCGTGCGTGGATTGAGTTGAAGTAGCTAATGAGAAGCGAGAATGTGTTATCATAATAGAGCTAAGTGGKTGCGATGTCTCGTTGAGACATTATGATGTCATTTAGAGTGCTGTTTTTAATTATTGAATTGTTTGATATTTGATGTAAGTTCAACAGATTTGTTGTTCCTTGAAGTTCTAGTGGAGCATACCCAGCTTGTGGATGGAAGAACAGTGATGGTGACAGAATGGATCCTTGCCACCAAAGTGTGGTTGATGAATGTCAACAGAGGAATAGGAAATTAGAACAAAATTATATCTCACAAATAATAGTAAGGTGGCACTAGCTTCACGACACAGCTCGGTGGAGCCTTTTGGTCATGTTAGCAGTTTAGAGGTCTTAAGTTCAAACCTTCTGGTGAACTTAACACAAAAAATTCTCAATGTGACTGGTACGGAGGGAAGCAAAGTTCCGATTTTAAAGGGAGAGAAAATAGTAAGGTTACACTAATTATTTTATTGGCTATCATCTTCCCACTATGTTTTAGTGCAGAAGGGGGAAACAGAATGTCAACCAAAATCTTTGAATTCAACCAGAAGGGTCAGAAATTGAGGTGAAGATTGGTCTCTCATTCTACATCAAAACATCACACATTCCAATCAATCAGGTATTTTTGCAACTTTTCAGGCATGGTCCTCGGATTTTTTGTTCTTTCCTATTTTATTTGGAGGAAAACGTGGGTAACTATCCTTGACTTGTTAACTTTGGTTAAATTTAAGGAACTTCGTATTTTTAATATTGTGTTTAATAGATTTTTGAACTTTAAAAAATATCTAATATATCTCTAAACTTTCAATTTTGTTTATACTAGATTTCTTATACTAGGTTTCTTAAYTTTCAATTTTATGTTTAATAAATCCTCTACTTTTTAAAAAGAAAAATTAGAACTCTCGGACATATTTGACACAAAATTAAAAGTGTAGGATTTTATTTGACACGATTCAATTTTATGTTTCTAATAAATGCATTAACTTTAAAAAAAATGTTATAGGTTAGGATCTATTAGATAAAAAATTGAAAGTCTAGAGATCCCTCGGACATTTTTTTTTTTTAATTAGAGATAGGTTAGAAACAAACTTGGAATTTTGGAGACTAAACTTGTAATTTAACCTAACTATTTTGTTTTTTTGCTTTTCAAACTTTTATATTAAAAATAAAAGTTTTGTTTGAAAAACTACTTTTTTTTAAACAAAATATTTGTAATTTTTACATCATATTTCTTTTTTAATTCTTTTGTATTTATAAGAATTTAATTAAATTATAAGCATCGAAAAGCACCAAGTTGTATGAATCGTATTTTTGGAAAAGAAAATTTTTAAAATTTCTTCTCACTTTTAAGATAATATAAAATTATTACCAATTTTAAATCATATTTGGATGCCTAAACTTCCATACGTGTTTTACGTCTTAAACTTTATATAAAAACTTAATTTTTGTCTTACCATCAAAATTCCTGTACATAAGCAAAAATTTTCGTGAAGACAATACCAAGCTTAAAAGAAGAACAAGCTAAGTTTTATAAAAATTAATAGACTAAAACAGAATGCTCAAGGACCAAAAGAAATTGAAGAATTGAGATAAGATCCAAAACTTAAAGTTTATTAATTTTTAAAAAGAGAAGGATAAAAATAAGCAACCAGGACTCAACTATGGACAAGACAACCTTGTAAACTAATAGCTTTCAGGTCTCAATAATTGTTATACTTAGAATTGCACAACACACTCGTCTTGGAGGCCACAGTCAACTGCCTCATCACGTGACCTCTTTTGTTAGTTTTGTCTTTATATTCACCCCTTATTTGATTCCAAATTATTTTCACGGGACCGCTACAATATTTGGTGTCGGAAAACATAGAGAAATTAATTCTTAAGATAAGGGCCATCTTAAATTTCATTCACCCCTTCTTTTGATTCCAAACTAATCTCACGGGATAGTTACAACATCTGGTGATGAAAAACCCACAAATTAATTCATCATGAAATTTGAACTCCTTTGGACCAATGAGTCATCTATGATAGTTTTCCTTGCGAAAAATACTTAGTTCCTTAACGATAAGGAGCAAATATTGTCATCACCGCCATTAAAATTGACAACTCATTATTTTTTTTTAAAATTTTTTTTTAATTGTCTAACTTTGAACGGTGACAAAGACAAGATTTGCTCCTTACCATTTAGGAGCATATTTTCCTTTCCTTCCTATGTATATAAAAGACTAAAAAACACGTTCCTTTTGGTTTATGTATTTTGCTCTCTCCCCTCGCAAGAACAACACACGTAGACAATACGACATCAACTACAAATTGCATTCAATTCCTAAATTTTAGTATACAATAACTTACTCCATGTGCTTTTGCACTTATGATGATTTAGTCATTAAACTTTAGTATATAATAATTTAGTTTATAATTTAAAATTTCTAATGATTTAGTCCATGTTGTGAAAATTTCCATCAAGGTGAAGCAATTAGTTTTTATTATGTAATGATTTTGTCACTGTATGCGTAGTTGATAAATATTTATTTGGTCCTAAACAATATTTTAGGTGATATGGATTATATTTACAAATTTTTAAAATTTTAAAATATAAAGAGTAAATCGTTACACAGGTACATATTATATATTTAGACCCATCTCAATTTTAATTATTCATACCTATGGGGTATTTTCATATGAAGGCTCCATTTTCACCCAACATTTTGGCTTTGCAGTTCCTAGTTTGAGAAATAACTATATAGGTTAAGAGTTTGTAATTATCAAAATTTGACCAATTTTATGGTAATCTTACCTTTCATAGTTAATCCTCTCTTTCCAAGAAACCCCACATGAAAGAAGAAGATATTTCATGGCAACTCAAATGGTTTATTCTATATAAAGGAGCTTTTACAATAAATCATTCAACAAAAGAAAAGATACATTGTTTTAAACAAATATTTAATTTTTGTTGTTTTCTTCTCTTTTCTTCTTCACCCATTTACTATATAAAATATATATATATATATATATATATATATATATATTTTAACTTTTTGCACAGGCATTTACTATAGTTTACTCCAACGAATCACATCACTCTTGGTTGAATGAATCTCCAAGTTAAGTCATGTATATATATATTTAGTATTTTTAGTAGAAATCATCAAACTAATATTTCCCTACATAAATCAATTTTAATTGAAAACTCTTTCTTTTTTCGCATTATCCGCACTAAAAAAAGGGGAATTATCGCCGACCAATCTTTCTAAATTCTAAATAATCAAAAAGGCACCTATATTAAAGATATATATATATATATATATATATATATATATATATAATATATTCATATTCAAAAAGGCAAGATGCACCCAAAAATCTATCCCATCCCAAAAGACTAATTTAAACCTTAAATAAAGAAATCTAGTAATAAATATAAAACTCTCTCTTTGCTTTCTCAAAAACATAAGGGAAAAAAAAACAATAACAATAACCATTTTTAGTTAACCATATACACATATATAGTTTGTTATTATTACCTGTTCAAATACAATGAGACAAAGACTTGGAGACAGGATCATTTTTAAAGAGGTTTGTTATTGCCTTTTCAACTATATTTAATAACATTAATTGACATTAATTAAGTATATTTTAAACCAAATTAAAATAAAAAAATAATTTTCACACAATAAAATAGAAGAAATGTTTTTCTAATACAATATGTAGAGATGAAAATTCTAACCAACGAATTCTTAATAGAAGATATATATTTAATAAGGATTMAAATACATGACCCTTTAATTAAAAATAAATATATATTAATCAATTTAGCTGTGTTTAAATTAATGGTCCATATTTATAAAATAATGTGAAAAAAAAACAAAATGGGACTATAATATAATTTACCTATAGGCCACCACCACTTGTCATGAAATTACGAGTCTACCCTCCCCTCGCCGTGTATAAAAACCCTTCTGGTTTCTTTAAATTTGCGCCATAATTTAACAGACCAAAAAAAATGGGTTCCCTCCCTCACATCGTAGAGGACTGCATGGGCGTCCTCCAGCTCTACAGCGACGGCACCGTCTCCCGCTCCGACGACATCAACTTCCCCTTTCCGATCGCCGCCTACGACAGCTCCGTCGTCTTCCGCGACGTCCTCTACGACGCCGCGCACGGCCTCCACCTCCGCCTCTTCAAGCCGGCGACCTCCTCCCGCGCCAAACTTCCGGTCTTGTACTTCATCCACGGCGGCGGCTTCTGCGTCGGCTCGCGATCGTGGCCGAATTCGCACAATTGCTGCTTCCGGCTTGCGCTAGGGCTCGAGGCGCTGGTCGTGGCGCCCGATTACCGTCTGGCGCCGGAGAACCGGCTGCCGGCGGCGGTGGAGGACGGCGGGAGGGCGATCGAGTGGCTGCGGAGGGAGGCGGACGAGTGGATCGACGATAGGGTTGATTTGGAGAGGGTTTTTGTTATGGGAGACTCCTCCGGCGGGAACATTGCGCACCATTTGGCGGTAGGGTTCCGATCGAGTGTGAGAGTGAGAGGATTTATTTTGATGGCGCCGTTCTTCGGCGGAGTCGTGAGGACCAAATCGGAGGAGGGACCGCCGGAAGATTTCTTGAATTTGGATGCACTTGATAGGTACTCTCACGAAATTTACTTGCAATTTTATAACTATTAAATATTTGACAATTAAGATATAAATATAATTATTAAATATTTGACAACTAAAACATAAATGTAAAAACACGATGGAAAGTTTAGATTCCTTCCATTAAGGAGCCAAATAAGTTCTGTGTGAACTTGAACCTTAAACTATTTGGAATTGAAGCTAAATTAATACGACGCTGACAAGGTTCTAGTTTTTATTGTTTTTTGTTTTTAAAATTTGAGTGTATTTTTAGAAAATGAAAAATCAACTAAAGAAAAGTGAATGTTAATTAAATAGAATTCTAATTAACTTGATCCTTAAAAAAAATGTTATCCAATGGATGGGACTCAGTAAATAGACTTAATAAATAAGTTTTACACTATAATAACTGGGTTTCAGCGACGAAAGAATTTTCGTCGTTAAAACTGATTTAAATTCTCTTGTTCTTAATTTTTTTTTATAAAAGTAATTTTAGAAAATCATTTCTTATTTTTGAAATTTGACTAAGATCAGAAAAATAAATTTAAAAAGTTAAAAATTATAGTAAAGAAGTATATATATAAATCGTTTACGTAATAAGTTCAATCTTAAAAAAACAAGAAATTTAAAATGAAATTATTATTAAAACAAACCTAAATTTTGGTCTCTGCTCTTAAATTTTTTAGGATAGTCAAAGCTAAATTACAAAGGATGATTCAATATATACTTACTTTCAATATTCTTTCTAATATTTCTCAAAAATATAATTTCCACCCAAATGATTAATGTTGTTGCTACCTAACTTTCATTTGTTTTTATAATTTGAAATATGGATGGGGTGGGATTATTCAAATTTTAACCTTTTAGGAGAGATTGTTAATATATTAATCAAACAAATTTTAGCATTAATTAGTTAAAATTTTGAAAATAAGTAATAGAGGGAGAAAAATGATTAATTATAACAAAGTGTGAAATTTAATATATATTCTTTAAAGGTTGAAATTTAGTAGAAGGCATGCATATGGAGTGCACAAGGGAATTTCTAGTTGAGAGAATATTCAAAATTTCAAATCATCAACCAAATATTTGACCATCCAATCCTGAATCTAATAGTATAGATCTTAAAAAAAATTAATAAGAAAAAAAATCAATTTCCCATCAATTTAATTACATCACCACTGCCCACTTCCCTTGGCTATTATATTTTCTTTTCATACATCACCCATAAATATTTGCCAAAAACCCATAAAAATAATTTAAGAGAAAAATCCCAACCACTCTTTTTGTGTCTTATTTTTAAAATTCAGTAACGTCATTCTCAAATCTCCACTATGGAAGAGGAATGCGTGTGGGGAGTACTTTTGACGACCCACTATATTACACCAAATTAAGATCCTGGATTTAATTTATTGCTAAATCCAAACCCCCACCATACACCATATTATTAAACTAAACAAAAATTATGACTTAAAAAATAAACAAGGCCAAAAACATAACAAAATCCCCCATATTGGGATTCAATTAATATGTCTTACATTGTCACACTATTATAAATACACCACGATTATTATTGCACTGAAAGTTAGGTTAGGTGTTTCAAAAAAAAAAAAAAGGTTAGGTTAGGTAAATTAGGTCAAATAATTAGTTAAGATGTCAATTTGCTTCCTCATTTCTGACTAGGTTGGCAACGGGACAGTGGAGACCTCTTCCATCTCTGTCCTGTCTCCGCCAGATACCCTAATCAGGTTTCCTGATTTGACACTGTCTAGGATTTCTCGATATAACTAGGTCAGGTATTTATGGGGATCATGTCCTGCTGGTATATTTTTGTCCTCCCTATTATCGATTATATGTGTTAACATCATTTATAAATTATGTAATATAAATTATTCAAATTTATGAAATTCATATTTTATATATAGCTAGAATGTAACAATATACTAAACTTTATAAATTATTAACTCATTAAACAAGAGACAAGCTCCAAAAATCTAGCTAGGGCTCTGAGCTACGACCCAAAATTCAAACATGAATGATGTAATCAAATTTGTACACTCATAATCCAATAAAATTAGGCTTCCCGTCCCAGGCATATCTTCTTGCACTTGCAAGATTTAATTGGATAAGATTCCATTTATAATATATGGAGTTGTGTGATGCATATGTGCATGTATTTTATATATTTTTAATAGAGAGCTACTATTGCTACTATCTTTAGACGTCTTTGTATTTTTAAATTTTATTTTTTTTAATCTATATACATTTAAAATATTCGTTTTGATTTCTTGTACTTCATTTTGATCCTTAATTTACAAAATTTTAACACAAATTTTATACTAACAAAATTTAATGAATGGAGTGTCATACATGTGACGGAAAGAGTTGAGATAAAATTGGAAAGAGACTAAAATGATCACTTAAATAGATATTTTGAGAGTAAAGAGACATTAAAATGAATAAAAGTTGAGAGTATATCAAAATAAATATTGTGAAAGTACATCGACTAAAATAAACCAAAATATCAAAATTATAGAAACTAAATAAGTATTTAGATCCAAATTTTAAAAAAAAATTCCAAATTTAAAGTTGGCAGCCACTATTTTTTCATTTTTAAGAACTACCATTCTGAATGTTTTGTATGACCACTTATAATTCATTTGGAAAGTGACTTTTTATGGAAATAAAAAATAATAACTTCAAAAAGTCAAACTTGACATTTAAGATCACGATTTCAATATAATATTCACAAGTGTGTGATAAGATTTTTATCGAAATCTCCTCTTTTTGAAAATTGGAACTTTCTTTATATTATAAAATTTTTAGTGGATAAGTTCGTTGAATTATTAAAAGTTCGACTAATTTCATTTAGTTGACTTAAATAATCCTTTAAGTATCTATTTTGAATATATGAATCTTTTATTTTAACTATTATTAGATAAAAGGGTAGCATTCCAAACCTTTCTTCAATTATTTTTTAAAATTTTTAAAAAATTCTTCTAAATAATTTATGTGCGTTTCTCAAATTTTAAAACATATGATTTTAGATGCACCGAACAAAAACATTCTTCAAAATAACTTAAACTTTTCAATTTCGAGTATGACATTTTTTTTCCTCCTTAAAAAAGTTATTACYGTTTATGATAGTGGAGTGTATATAAATATATATATATTTATTTAAAACAATTTATCCAGAAGACAATGATTCAACTATGAAAATAAATAAATAAAAATAATAAAATAAAATAGTAATGGGGAATTTCCCAGCCAACATCATTAGGATCTGGCACATTATCTCATAGAAAATTTATAGTGCATAATTATCCAATCAATTCCTCACACAGCCTTACCAGTATCTTATTTTATTTTGTTTTATTCTTTTTCTATAAAAAGTCAGAATCTTTGGGAAAAGAAAAGGAAAACGATGGATGGATATGGATCCAAATAAGTCATTAATTCCTTTTGGATGAATAATATCCAGTCAGTCAATGTTAAAAAATTGATAAATTACTTTTTTTTTTCTTTAACGAACAGAAAAAGAAAATCTCTTTCTTTTAGATTTTTTTCTTTAAATGTAAAAAAATTYAAGAGTACTTAATCGACTAGTCAAAACTTAAATGTTGTTCATGAAATGACTTGAGAAAATATTTACGTGCTTATCCGTCATTTTCATCTTTTACTGTCCACTGTCTAACTTTTAACAAGTAAGAGGGAGAAATGCATATAAAWTTTTTTTTTTCTTTTTAAAAAGATCAAAAATCTTTCAAAATTTTATGGTGATTAGCACAAAAATGAATGCTTAGAGAAGCAACAAATAAAACAACCACAARGAATAATACTAACCTCACAACGATAAGAAAATACTACTAACTAATATATTTTTGACATATGAAAGAGATTAATATAGAATAAGGAAGATAGAATATAGGTTCTATTTTCATTTTCTTTCAAGAAAATAAATAGTCGTCAAGTTTTTTTAGTGACGGTCGACGGATCAAGATGTTAGTACAAAAGCAATTTTACGGTGAAAAACACTATTCAAAAGGAAAAAAGAAACAACAAATTTGTATTTTGTATTTTTTATGCTTTTAAAAAATGTCTATAAACATTATTTTCACCTTGTATTTCTTTATTTTGTAATTTAATTTTTAAAAAATCAGAAAGTTGATATCAGGTTTTGGAGGCTATCATTACCAGTAGGAGAGGATAGAGACCACCCACTGGCAAACCCATTTGGGCCAAGGAGCATGGGCCTGGAAGGAGTGGATTTAGGGCCCATTATGGTGATGGTTGGTGGCAATGAGATGCTGAAAGACAGAGTCCAAAACTATGCCAAAACACTGGCCCAATTGGGAAACAAAATTCAGTACGTGGAGTTTGAGGGGAAGCAACATGGCTTCTTCACCAATTGTCAAGATTCTCAATTTGGCGATGAGATTGTGGCTATTATCAAGCACTTTATCATCCAAAACTCTCTTTAAATTTGAAATCTTGTAGTGCCAAATATGCCTACTTAGGCTTAGTTTTACAGTATTTTTAGGTTTCTCGGAGTCTAGAGAATGCTTAAAACTTGGGGTATTAGAAAATGCGAGTCTGTAGTTTTTCTCCTCAAAACATAAATATTCACACAGTATTTTAGATTAGGAGTAATGTGTGTATGGTGTGAAGGAGAGTAGTTGGAAATAATAATAATATATGTAATGGTAGAGTACGAGAGTTAGTGTTATAACTTTGACGTTTCGAGTTGGACTAACTTTATTGAGCTTCACAATTTAGTTTTTATGGATAATGTTWTTTTTTGTTTGTTTATTATTCTATAATAATATATAAAAGAATAAAATAAATATGTTTGTAATTATTTTTTAGTTTTATGTTTCTGAAAAGCCAAGAGAGGAAACAAAACATTTTGATAATTCTTTTATATGTTTTAAAAGTTAGCTGAGAGATGAAGATAAATGATGTCGAAGAATGATCGCATAAAAGAAATGTTGTACGGTGAAAAAGTATTTTAAGAAAAAGAGAGAAATTATAAATACATAAAAGTACATATATAATTATTTATAAAAAGAAACTCGTGAGGTATACATAAAATTCAAAAAGGATCACAATCAAACAATATTTTTTCAAAATAATTATAGCTAACAAAAAAACAAAATAGAATACTCTTCAGAATAATGATAGATTTGTTATAATTTAATTAGTCGAAGTATTAATTATAACATCCCTAAAAAATTAGACACTTTTAGTCTCCACATCCATTGAACTAAAAAACAGTAATAGCTCTTAAAAATAGGGAAAACGATTTCTCAAAGAGTTAACCTCCTACTAATGTCAAATTATGTAAAAGAACAAAGGAAAAAAAAACGTAACTAAGTATCACTTAAATTTAATACCAGAATGTTCAAACCCTAGAAAATTTTGTACAAAAACATAAAAGTCCTCCTACATCTGTTCTGAAAAAAAAAAAAAATCCTAATCAGTTACAAAATCTTAAAGAAAAACAAAACTAGTCATATTATTAAAAAAATAATAAT